TAATTTGAATGGGTATTAAGCATCATGCATCAGCTGCTGTTTGGGAGCAATACAATTTTTCATTCTGTATTTATTCCATAATTCATTCTATATTATATTTCATTTCTAAAATTATGACTATTCACAAAGACTCAATTAAATGAACTTTATAACAAAGATTTAGTGTTTAATTAAGTACATGCTGATTTTAAATTAAATTGCCTCTACATAAAATCACTCATTGGGAATTATGCAAAATGGCAAAAGAAAAAGTTCAAGTTCTAAGAAGGGGGAAGTAAATATTATAGGTTTAGTGGCTCATAAAGGGACAGTGGTTGAGAAGTGATGCTTTAAGGAAAAAAGTGAAGCTATTAGGCTGTTTCTCCCACTCAGGGAATATTAGAATATTCAAACTGGGAAGGACTCGACATTCTAATGGTTTCTCTCCATTTTACAGCTGAGCAAACTGAGGGTAGATGGTTGGTAAGTGGTTGAGCCTGTGCTAGGATTTGGGTCATTATGTCCCACCGAACCATCCCCTTCCAAGGGGGCCTCAAATTGGTAATATCACAGAGCTTAATTAGCTTTTCTGAGCTTTCTCTGTAAGATGGAAATAATGCTTGCCTCACAAAATTGTTCTCATGAGTTAAATAAAACATAGTGCCCAATGCCGGGCGCGGTGGATCACGCCTGTAATCCTAGCACTCTGGGAGGCTGAGGCAGGCAGATTGCTTGAGGTCAGGAGTTCGAAACCAGCCTGAGCAAGAGCGAGACCCCTGTCTCTACTGTACATAGAAAGAAATTAATTGGCTAACTAATATATATAGAAAAAATTAGCCGGGGATAGTGGCGCATGCCTGTAGTCCCAGCTACTCGGGAGGCTGAGGCAGGAGGATCGCTTGAGCCCAGGAGATTGAGGTTGCTGTGAGCTAGGCTGACGCCACGGCACTCTAGCCTGGGCAACAAAGCGAGACTCTGTCTCAAAAAAAAAAACACATAGTGCCCAATATATAGAAGATGTTCAAGGCCCCAGAGGTGTCATACTTATTTTTCCCTCCTGGGGGAAGGGTTCCATTTGGGAAGTGGCAATATCAAAGGCATGAATCTCTAATAGTTGAATTCAGGTATGAATGAGAAAAGGTGATAAAGATAAAAAGACTGTAATGTCCCATATCAGAAACACCAGTGAGCCTTCCCAAAGACCAGCCTGAATCTCATGGTACCAATGATGAAGATGTTGATGATAGTATTTCAGTTGTTACAACACTGTTGATAACAATAGCAGCTGTAAGCTATCAAGTGCTTTCTTTGTCATAGGCATTATTCGAAGTATTTTATATGCATAATCCTTTTGTTTCTCATAACAATCCCAAGAGGTAGGTTCAATGATTGCCCTTCATTTTGCTGAAGAGGATCTGAGGCACAGAGGGGCTGGATCATGTGTCCAAGGTCACATAGCTACCAGTGACACCTGAGATTTGAACTAAAGATCCTGAGAAAGTATATTTCTTTATCTGCACTGTCAATTTATGTTCCAAATGTGTCCTCCTACTAGAATCCTTCATACTTGGGACTTTCTCATAGTTCCCTATAAGCCAGTGGTTCCTGTTAGTTCACCCACCTTCCCTAGACTGTAGTTCGTGTTGTTAAAAATTCCCTCCCCTTGTGCTTTTGTCAACAATAAAACTATTTCCCATCTCTTAAAAATATGTTTCACGTCATTGGCAAGCTACTCAAAATTTATAAGCAAATTTATACCTACCCATTAAGATCGTGCCTGTATTCTGATCTTAAAAAAGAGCAGTTGAAGACCTGTGAATAATAGACAATCTATTAAATATTTATTAGGAAATGCCTTAGCACTTTCTTCGAGATTTCCTGTACCTTCAAGATTTGTTGAATACCAAAGTCTCCTTTAAATTCTGGAGCAATTTTTAATGGATGTAGTTTTCTGTGGTTTGTGAAAATCTTTTGCCAACTTGGATTAGTCTTCTATCTGATAATGGAGCAAATGATTACTGTAAGAACAGAAATCATCATCATTGCAATAAAATTGTTACCATATGCTAACTGCTTGCTATGTGCCGTGTACTGTCCAGGGTCCTAGCCATATGGTTTCATCATCCTCACAACAAACCTATGAAGTCCATCTGCAAAAACCCTTCTTTAACAGATGCCAAAACTAAACCTCATTTTAAAAGCAAAGGACGGTTAAGTAAATGTTTGCTTCAAATTGCACCTTCCATATAGTACGAAAAAGAAATAGAATAAAGCAAAACAAAACAGAAAATGGTGAAATGGTAAAACATGTTTTCCTATTATAATATGGTTCATTTTATGCAAAAATGTAGGGAAAATAGTCATTTATTTTGCCTCCAGAATTTTTTAAAAATAATTTTATCTTAATCCTATTCATTAATATTATTTTATAAGTACTGTTAAAACAAAAGGAAAATTAGAAATCACCCACAATCACACTACTAAAAATAAGAACCATTGAATTTTGATGCATAATTTCAATAGATTATTATTCTTACTGGACTAGCACTTGGGGAAATAATTTCACTTTTTTCATTTTAAAGGTTAAATCTAATGACAAATGTTTGTTCAAAATTGTGTCTTTCAGAGGAATTTCCACCAACTATAGGTGAGTTGATCAAAAAACTTTTATTAGAGTTTCCTTTTAAGGTTTGCAACAAAATGTGAAATCATTGAATACTTTTTTTCTGGTAATAAATCATATTTTTCATTAAAAACTACTATTTTATGTATTCATATATAAAGTAAGCTTCATGTTAAAATTAGGTAAGGAAAAAGACTGAGAGAAATCATGATTTTAGTGTCAATTTTACTGTTAATATTTGTGAGTGATTAAATATTTCATTACATATAAACTCAGAATGTAATTTTACTGTTGCAAAAATCAAATATGATAGGACACAATGAAATACTGCTTTTTGCCACTTAAAAATGAAGTACAAATTTTTCCATCTCCATGTATATGTTCACATTTATTAATGACTATATGATATCATAAAGCTGTATTTTATTTTTAAATTCCTTTAGTAATTGATATTTTTTAATTGATTCACATTTTTAACTAATACTAATCATGCTGGAATGAGTATTCTTAATCTGAATGTCATTTCAACGAAAACCAGGAAAGCACAAAGCTAATTATTGCCATCAATACTACTTAACATTATTTTGGGGGCTTCTAATATATGTGACGGTATAAAAGGAAAAAACCTGTAAGCCTATAAAAAATAATAGGAAAAATTATTTTATGATTGTGTGCTTTAAAATTCTTAGAATTTAGTATGTTAGTACAAATTGCTAGTTTTAATAAGAGACTATGGCTATGTGACTGAATACAAGGTAAACACACAACAGTCAGTAGTTTTTCTCTATACTGGTAAGAACCAAGTAGACATTGATGGAAAAGGAAAACATTCTATTTAAGATCAATGACAAAAATAAAACACTTTGGAATTAAATCAACAAGAAATGCATAGGAATTATATAAAGTAAATAAGAAAATCACATTGAGGAGTATAAAACAAACTCTGAAAACTTGAAAATCATGCCGTGTTCTTGAGAGGAAGACATAATGCAATAACAATGTCACTTTTCCTCAAACTAACATTTTTACTTAATTCCATTTTATATAGGAGCCAATTTTAAAGTCTAAAAATATTAAAATAAATGTTAGCTCCAAATTTTGTTTTTCAGAAACTATAAATCATTTTGCAGAGATCGGAGGTAAGTTGATCAAAAAACTTTTACTATTAAAGTATATTTTCTTTTAATTTAGTAAAAATTGGGGAATTGGTGATTTTTTTTCTGGTAAAAATTTTTTTCTCCTTTAATAAAATATAATTTAAGTACCTTGTAAATAAATTTTTTAAAGAGAGACAGAGCAATAGGGCCAGGCAGGTGGCTCACGCCTGTAATCCTAGCACTCTGGGAGGCCAAGGCAGGAGGATTGCTTGAAGCCAGGAGTTCCACACCAGGCTGAGCAAAAGCAAGACCCCATCTCTACTAAAACTAGAAAAATTAGCCAAATGTAGTGGTGTGTGCCTGTAGTTCCAGCTACTCAGGAAGCTGAGGCAGAAGAATTGCTTGAGCCCAGGAGTTTGATGCTGCAGTGAGCTACGATGATGCCACTGCACTCTAGCTCAGGTGACAGAGCGAGACTCCGTTTCAAAAACACAGAGAAATAGAAGTCACCCTGAACTTTCACCAGCACTGAATGTTTCTACTCTTTAAGTTCTGCCAATCTAATAGGGAATAGCAGATTTTAAAATTCATATAGAAAATATATCCAATAACAATTAGTAATATTATGAACAAAAATAGTGTTGGAGTAGAGAAATAATTTGTTTCATCAGACATTTAAATATGCTATGAATAAAAAATTATAATATAAACAGCATGGTATCAGCCTAGAGAGAGTCAAATAAGAAGAAGAAAAAATATTTCATGATGCTTGCTGGCCCCAGAGCCTGCTCGTTTAACCACCATGCCATCCTACCTCTCTAATAATTTTAAGAAACTCTCTGGATGGAGCTTTAATATAAAATGGATCCCAGAATATATTAGAATTTAATATATGATTTTAAATGTACAGACGTTTAAATGTACAGGTGGTTTGATTTATCATCAATCTGTCATTATTGAATATCTATTCAGAAAAAGTAAAATTGCACCCCCCTCTTCCATCATATACAAAAGTAAATTCTTGTTTAATAAAAATTTATATATAAAAGAAATAAAATCATTTAATTTAAGGAGGAAATATAGGAAAATATGTGGACGGCGTAAGGACCAGGAGATCTTTTAAAGCAAGGCAGGAATTGTCTGTTATACAGGTAAACAGTTTTAAAGTTGTGTAAATGCTTCTTACTGATGAAAACTCAGGTAAGACAGCACGGTTGGTAGGGAAGATGGATTGCTCTTGTCCTTTAAGATAGCAATTCCCGTCAATGTCAAAACTTCGCATATGCTTTGTCCTAGTAACCATGCTTTGGCGATTATTGTCTACGGTAACAAATGCTTCCGTATGTAAAGGTTTAAATGCATGGAATGTTTACAGTGGGAAAAATCTGAATATGGAAAAAATTGAATACATTGGGATTAATCCATAGCACAGAACATGAGTCAGTATTAGAAGGAAGATGTTAAGAGCTACAAAAGTTACTTGAAAAGGCTTTCTATGATGTGTTAAGTTAGAAACCCAAGTGATGGGTATAAAGTATGGTTTATATTGAGGATAGAAAAAACCTATGTACGTGTGTGTGTGTGTGTGTGTGTGTGTGTGTGTGTTCAATAGAGCCACAGGTAGTGACTCTGATTTCCGAGTGCACCAGTCCCTAGGAGGAAGGTCACTTTGTCACCTCTCCACAGAAACTCCCAGAAACAGATGAGGAACTTTTGTTTTCTCTAGATGGGGAGTGCGTTTTTCCATTCCAGTATAAAAACCAAACATTCTACGACTGCATCAAGCTCAACGCAAGACACAAGTGGTGCTCCTTAGACAAGATTTACCAAGGCTACTGGAAGTACTGCACCATGGAAGGTGAGGGTCTTGCCTCTGAGCACCCGACGGTGGGGATCTTGGCCTCTGAGGCTGCGATTTGGTGAGAGACACAAGAGGGTTTCAGATATGAAATCTATGGCCAATTAAGTTGTGAAAACAAGGGATGTGCCACTTCTGACCGTAAGAAAATCACGTGCCACCAAAGATATATTATGAGCACTTCGATTTCATGATCTTGAAGAGATATCTTTTAGTAGAACATTAAAGCGATATGGGATCTCAGTGCCCCCCCCCCCAGCATTGCTCTCATATGCTGTCGGTGGGTGGGACAGGGAAGAGCAGATGGTCTGAGCAGGAAAGTGTGGCGAGGCGGAGGGGAGGTGCGAAATGGAAAGGTCCCTTAATCTGACTGCTTCTTTCTTCTCTGCAGACTTTGCAAAATGCGTGTTTCCCTTTTGGTACAGACGCATGGTCTACTGGGAGTGTACAGAAGATGGAGATGTAACTGGGCAAAAATGGTGTTCGCTGACCAGGAATTTTAACAAGGACGGAATTTGGAAATATTGTGATTGATGGTGAGACTGGCTGGGGAACGGGGTGAAGAAGTTTAACCATCCTCATTGGAAAGAACCTATAGCTTTTGTTGGCAGAGGAGGAGGTAAGATCCTCATTAAAAGGGTTTTTCTTTTTTCTGGGATATGAGTTGAAGGGGATTTGCTCTAAATAACTTGGGGTTTGATTAGGGATTATGAGGTTTTAACATGGAGACCTATGTTCTAGCCTCAGCACTTTTTCTTGCTATCTGTTTAAAATTAGGTCCTTAAAAAAATGTGCATGGACTTCAGGTGATGTGTGACTTGTAACAAATGTACCCCGCTCTGGTGGGGACGTTGATGACGGGAGACGCTGTACCTGGGAAGGGGGGGACCCGGGGGTGTATGGGAAATCGCTGTACCCTCTATGCACTTTTTAATTGCTCTAAAAAATAAAGTTTGTTCAAAATGCATTGCATTCCTTGGCCAAAGAATGAAAAAAAAATGCATTCAAATGTAGGGGACTGTCATATATTTTCCTAGTTTAAGAATTAAGTTTAGTAATGTTCGTGCTCTGCCCAGAGCATTTAAAAGTAATATGTTCTGGACAAGGCCCCTGTTGCCTTGAGGCATAACAAAAACAAGGCATTGCCTAGAGACATAACAAAGGACCTGAGTTGCAAGTAAGCAAGAGCTACCACCCCCACGACATTGGGGGTCTGGAGGCCACATGATAAACACGTTGTTCCTGTGATCGCTGGGTACACCCCATAAGATGGCTGGCTAGGTAAGACCCCTCAAGGGAAGGGCAACCTAAGCCATGCACAGCCGCCAGGGTTCAGCCGAAGATCTCAGGGGATAACCCTAAGAAAAGCTGGGGATGAGAAATGGACCCTGTGACTTGCCTTGCCCATCCTTGCTAATCTCAGTCCATGATCTACGCCTGGCGCCTAGAGCAACCACCTGGAAACCTTGAGCCAGGGGACATCTGCTTCCCTAAAGCTACACATTCCAGAATTTATGGCTATTGCTGCCATGCCTGGGTGGTTACGTACAAGGAACTAACTTTAATCTTTTAGAGTATAAAAATAAAACTGACCTGGTGTATTACTACTCGAGTCAACCATTTGTACATGTGTCTGTGTTTTTCTTTGTGTTCTGTGTTTTCATTTGATGTTCTGTGTTCATCCTCCGTGCTGTAAACAGGCCGCGACATTGAAATATTTTGAAAACAGGTAAAAAGTGATAACTGAGGGGGTACCTGAGCTGGGAATACAGGTGCTGATGGGGTAACAGATTAGAGTGAAGTTCAAAGGAACCGCATGAGATAGGAACCGCATGAGAAAGGGTAACAGGCTGAAAGGAGCTGGGGGCATCGTCCAAGTCAAGGAAAAGACACAGGGGCAGGTCCATCACCAGTCTGTGGGGAGCCAGAGGCTGGGCATGCTAGCAGCTTGGCAGCTGGCTATTAGGTCCAAAGAGAAGTCAAAGAGAAGCATTAAGGAAGCAGGATCTAGATATAATCAAATTGAATTACAAGGCCTATCGCTTTGGCTCTGGGTGGAGAGTAAATGGGAAGAGGGTTGGCCATGTGTTGAATTTGGTTAGGTTTCCCAAGAGCCCACACGGGTAATGGTAGTGGCCCGGGCATTGGCGGTGACTGGGGAGATGGACAAGAGGCCAAGTCTGAAGGCAAAGGAGGAAAAGTGGACAGAATACGGAGACTAAATATCCCTGGCAGTGGGGAGGGAGGAGTTGAGGATGAATTCCCAGCTGCGGAGTGAGCCGTGCCATGGCTTTGGTGGCCCCGTGCTGAGAAGCCACCTTCTGGACAGGGAGTGAACTGGGGGTGGCACAGGCTGGGGGCGGGCTGTGGTTCCATTTCTGCCTTTCCAGTTTGAGGTATTCGAGGGACATCCACGGAGTGATGCCGTGGAGACAGGTTTATGATCAGCTGTGGAGTTTGGAGGAGATATATAGGTCAGGGACACAATTACGGGAATCCTTGGGATTGAAATGATATTTTATTTTATCATCTTGTTTTCACTCATTAACTACAAAAATTTTCAAATATACCCAAACATAGAGAGTATGGTATAACAGCATGATGGATGCCCATGCACTAATTACCTAAGTTTAACTAATTACCCAAGTTTAACCATCCACATTTGACATTTTTGCTTCAGCTATACCTATCCTTTTTTTTCCCATATTTTAAAGGAAGATTAAAAGATGATTTCACCAATAAATACTTCGAATGGTATTTGATACGAAAGTATGAGTGCAGTTTCTGTAGGAGAGTATAGAGTCAGGAGAGAAGAGGTCTTGGAAAACAGCCTTGAGTTACTCTAAAATTTGTAGTTTATAGAAGAGAATGAATTCCAAAATAAGAAGGGGAAACCAGGGAAAGAAGAAGATAGTAAGAAGCAGGTAATATCACGTTTTTCAAGGAAAGAAGTGTCTTCAGCAGAAAGAGGAGTGATCAATGGTCTATAAATGATGTAAGAGATCAAGTAAGATCTAGATATCCATAGTGTGTATTATATATATATTAGTTGTAAGTTTATATAATATATAATAGCTGAAAGATGTCCATTGTGTTTGAACATATTAAATGTATTGAGCAGATCAATTTCCATAGAGTTGTGGGGATAAAAGCCTGAATGAAGTTATTTTCAGGGCTAATGGGCAGTAAAGAACTGCACGTAAAGTATGTAGCCTATTGTCTTCCAAAGCTTGGGTCTTAAAGAAATGAAAGTACAAGGCCAGTGCTTAAGAAAGTAGAGACCAGGCACTGTGGCTCATTCCTGTAATCGCAGCACTTTGAGAGGTTGAGGCAGGAGGATTGCTTGAGTCCAGGAGTTCGAGACCAGCCTAGGCAACATAGTGAGACTCCCATTTCTACAAAAAAAAAGTTAAAAAAAATCTATAGACAGGCTTGGTGACATTCACCTGCAGTCCCAGCTACTCAGAAAGCTGAGGCAGGAGGATGGCTTGAGCCCAGGAGTTTGAGGTTGCTGTGAGCTACAGTGACACCATTGCACTGTAGCCTAGGCAACAAACTGACACCTGTCTTAAAAAAGAAAAGAAAGAAAGAAAAAGAAAACTAGAGAAAAAAGGTGGCTGTTAAACAAGACTATAGTTCTACAGGAGAGTGAAGTTTTATATAAGATATAGATGATCGAGAGATAGATACATAGATGTGCAGATATAAATATAGATATAAACACACGTGTATAAGTTCACATGTAAGTACACGTGTACAGACATAGACGTATGTGTCTGTGCATTTGCCTAATGAGGAACGCGGCACCATATTGGACTGTTTGGGAAAGACCCAGTGGAGAGGACGTGCCCATCAGAGGGAAGACTCAGAAAGTGGGAAGAGGTCGGACAATCCCCGGCCGAGGGAGTAGAGCCGTCTTGGGCAGGAATGGGTCTTCCATTGTAGCAAACGTGGGTGAGTACAGGTCTAAGCAAATTCGTGGATTTGGAGGGACTGAAAGTTGAGAGAGTTTTTATTGTGTTTTCTCCAGGGTTCCAGCAGGAAGCTGGCGGTGCACTCAAACTGGGTCATCACAGGACACAGGAGACTGCAAATCATGGCGCAGTGCTCAGGGACAGTGACAGCAAGACAGGAAGGATGAGGGGGAAGAGAAATTTCTGGAATGGAGGGTGGGGGATGAGTGGGAGGAGAAAGGGAGAGAGAGTAGGAATGAGAGAGGGAGAGAGGCAGGGAGGGCTGGGGAGGGGAGAGAGAGAAAGGCAGAAGCCATGAGCTGTGGACCAGTCCATGGCGTGGGAGCCAAGGAAATTAACACGTCAACCTCCTTCCCTGTAACCCGCCCAGTTCCGCCCACCGGCCAGAGGGAAGGGAGCTCAGAGCAGAGCGAGAAGTGGAAGGTGAGTCGCAGTTGGGGATCACAAGTTAATAATTGTCGCAGACGAAATCCTGAGATTCCCAGCACAGCACATAGCCGCTCAAGGGACCCCAGTGGGAAAGGAGATGTCGGGGCTTGTTTGCAGGTGGGTGTTCCGGTGGGTGTGGTAGACAGATGGCTGAGGATGGAGTGTGTTCAAAAGAAAGATCATCATGATAAACACGGAGCCTAAAGCCTATAGAGAGGAAAGCAAAGATGAGAGTGAATGAAAGAAGAAGAAAGTAGGGGCTCAACAGATGGGAATCCCCGTTTGATTCTGACTTCTTCTTCCAGCTGCTTTGGCGAGACGGAGGGAGCAAGAAGGGCAGGACGGCCTCCCAGAGCGCACGTGCCGGCTTGCTGATTTCTGCGCCACCCAGTAAGGAGTCTCCAGGCAAACACTGTCTCTCTTTTTTGGCTTTGACTTGAAGGGTCCGATCCCTCAACCCCTAGCAGCCCTCAAATGTTGACCCAGAATTTTAGCCAGATTGTCCTTTCTCTTACCCCAAAAATACTTGCAGAATGGCCGGGCTCGGTGGCTCACGCCTGTAATCCTAGCGCTCTGGGAGGCCGAGGCGGGAGGATCGCTTGAGGTCAGGAGTTTGAAACCAGCCTGAGCAAGAGCGAGACCCCGTCTCTACTATAAATAGAAAGAAATTAATTGGCCAACTAATATATATATATAGAAAAAAATTAGCCGGGCATGGTGGCGCATGCCTATAGTCCCAGCTACTTGGGAGGCTGAGGCAGGAGGATTGCTTGAGCCCAGGAGTTTGAGGTTGCTGTGAGCTAGGCTGACGCCACGGCACTCACTCTAGCCTGGGCAACAAAGCGAGACTCTGTCTCAAAAAAAAAAAAAAAAATACTTGCAGAATGAAAGGAACCCACTCTTTTCTTGGCTCTGTGAAACCAACATGAGACAACGCGATGAACACAAAAGTGTGTGTGTGTGTGTCTATGTGTGTGTGTGTCTGTGTGTGGGCATGGGTGTGCAGACATGGACCCGCACAGAGGCAGAAGGACTGCAGTGATGGATGAGTTGTCTTAAAATAAATTGAGTGTGCGGATGATTGATGAGATGGTACCCACACGACGACAGGAGACTGTGATCCCTAGAAGT